CTCCAGGAAATACAAGACGCTACGAATTGCTCGTGTCAAGCGCCTCTGATGACAATCGACATCTCCGACGTTGCTACGACGACCCTCGAATTGAGTGTGTCCTTGTGGAAGATGCAGATTCGCCAGACGCAAATTGAGGAAAAAAAGAGCAGCGGCTTCAACGAATGAAAGGATAGGGTACGCGCATAGCGTCGAACATTTGCAGAGAGAGGGAGGGAGAGAGAGGGAGCTCATTCAATATCGTTTGAAGCGGGCCCGGAACGAAGTGGCGCGTAATAACGTCCCCTTCTTTGCGATTCCGATCTCCGTGCGATCTCTGTGTGTCTTTGTATTCGACTCGGAACGCCTTGTTGTGCTCTCCCGCTTATTCTGCTGTGTCCTGTGCGGCCTTGGCGAGCGACATGCTTCTTGCAGGATCGGCTCGCTCCGGAATCCCAGAGCGCTCTGCTCCGATTCAAGCGTGCCAGTCTTCCAAGCGTGCGCAATTTATTCGGCATACTCAATCACAGGGAATCCAGCAGCGGTTGGGGGAACTTTTATAAACAAGTTGCTGAATTCGAAGAGCAGCCCTCCGCTCAAATCGATTTTTTCTTCGCTTGATCCCGATGGAAGCGACTGATTAGATGAGACAATGTATCTCTCCCGAACGAACGTGATTTGCCAAGTCTTCCCAGGACGTCTCTGTCGCTGGCCCCCCAAACGGCGAAAGATGGTCACTAAGCATGATGAGTGACTACCAATAATGTCAAACGTCTCGCTGATGATGTTGTTGCCTCGGTTTATGCCGTGCGACTGCAGGTCGGATGAGAGGACCGACGGGCCAAAATATCCCGTACCCGAAACAAGCCGGCAATCGTTCTGGCACGGTTGATCCCGATCTGGACTGAAAATTCGATTCGAGGAGACCGCCGAATCCATTCGGCGTGACCTCAATTCCGGGGAAAGAGTTCCTGTCCGAGAAACCCCGAACACGCCTCCCTTGCGGACAGGTTTCGTTCCGGCTTCACGAGAGTTCTACATTCGATCGATCGCCTCCCCCTGCTATCGATCCCCGGAGCAGCTATAGGAAATTAACTTCTGGAGTCTCGGCTGCACGGAACAGAAAAGGATTTCGCTCTGAGTTTCCCTGGGCCGTCCGGAGCCAGTTCCGTCGGAGAGCTCCGGTGTTCTTGTTCCATACGGAGCTGACGGAGGGGACCATCGTAAGTGGGACACTCGACTCGGAGCGCGGCTCAATGGAAAGAGACTGGCGTACGACGCAGTGTATCCTCTGTCCGCTCGTCTCCGGGGAGTAACCACCCGTAGTGTGTTGTAACCGAGCGATGGCGACTCGGGCGTAGTTCTGTGGAGCATTTTAATGTCTACGGAGGAGAGCCTCTCAGAGGCCCCGGAAGCTTCCAAACTTTTTGGAACAGATTCCCCGTGGCTTTGGTTGGAAAGCTGGAAAACTCAATCAAGCGCACTGTCGGAAACGTGTCGCCTACTAACTCGCTTTCTCCGCTTCAATTATACCCTCTGGGATTGTTCACCGTTGCGTCATCGAGAAAGCGATTCGATGTTCAATATCCGGAGTCCCTTGTCATTTCAAGAAGTTTCCGAATGCTCGACCGATCGGGTCGTCGAACAAGCTCGGAAGATCAGAGCCGGAGGCAGAGCGAGGCTCGCGCCGAAAATCCTGAAAATCGACCTCGGTCATTCAACATCTTCAAGGTCGAAGACCGAAATCAGGAGCGGATCCCGTAGGAAGGAACAGGGAAATTGGAGCTATTGTTTGAAGTCTGAGATCGTCGCGCGACCCGATCGAGCTAATCCGGGGGAAAGATAGATTGCGGGGTAAGCCGAACGACTTGAAGCGCAATGACCTGCGTCGAGGCGACCTCGCGCACTTTCACCTGGACGACGACGGCGGCACAGCTGACGAGAGCGAAAAGAGGAGTTCGCGAGGACGAAGCAGTGCGACAGCAGCTTAGATTCGCTTTCAAACACGTGGTGTCGCGTGGCCAGCTGGCTCAAGTTCGCCTCGATCGTCGGCTACCGCTACTCTCACTGCGGCCGCCGCTGACTACGGCTCGCGCCAAGAGTTCACTCCACCAGAACAAGCAAAATACTGACGAATATGATGTATGGAGTTCGGTGCTCTGCTGGCGGACAGCCATCACTGTCTGAGTGGGACCAGTGAAAGGGTTCGTCTGGCTCAGCCCGAGCGAGCGAGTTCACAGACCGGCAGTCAATCAGACGCTGAGACACATAAGAGTAAACAGAAGTCCATCACGAAGGTCACAGCGAACTTCATCAAAAGATGAACTTGATCCATCAGAAAACATTCGCTAGGCCTCACTTCGAGCCGCTTCCCCTTTCGGATGACACGGACATCTAGGAAGACGGAGCGTGAAACCAGCTGCTCTCACCAGACGAAAAGAACGTCGGAGCTCGACGACACTCGCCCGAGCCACCTGATTCCTTTCCGAGACGAAAAGGAAATAAATTAGATGATAATTTTCCGCGACCGAGAGCCGATCCGTAACCGACGGACTAGAGAAAGGAAAATATCCATCCATCGGATAATATCTCACGAATTACTTTTATTACATCACACGAACCGGTGTCAGGCAGAGAGTTCGTTCTCGCACCCGGTCGATTTGAACTCCCGAGATTCGGAATCGGGAGTTCACATCTGAAACAATTCTATTCGGCAGAAAATTCTATTTGCACAAAAATAATGACAGCATCAGAGAATGCATCTGGTGTCTAGCAGTCGATAACAACTACTCTAAGTAGCTCGCAGTAAGACGAGTTCGAGCGCCGCTACCATTGCCGCGCCGCCGCTGCTGGGACTACAACTACCTCTGCTGTTGTTGTTGATGAGGACGACGACGCCAGCTAGTAAGCTGGAGTACATAAAAAAACTATTCTCGGGCGTGCGAGGGCGTCTAGTGGAGGGTTCAATGGTGAGCTGGTGGTGGATAGTACCAGTGCCTCGGCACATCTGCCTTTCGCTCGGCTCGCGCGTTCGTCAGTGAAAGCCTTCGCTGCTTCCACCGGCTCTCGTGGTGGAGCTTGCGGAGGAGGCTGCGGCGTCGCAGTGGCACCTGGAGACCCGTTCGGCCAGGTTGCAAACTCTCGGCGACTGAAAGTGAGAAGACCAATCTCCAAAACACAACTTCATCCTGTCGTCCTCCTGACAGAAGCTCTGCTGCTGCTGCGTCTTCCTGGTTCGCTTCCCTCTGTCGTCGTCGTCGTCGTCGGTTCTGATTGCCTTCGGTGCTAGGCCAGACTTTCTTTTGTTTTCCCTTCCAATGAACTAACTCATTCGGTGTAGGTGGGCTAAGCACTCGTGGCATGGGGAGTGGGCGACTTAAGTGTTCTTTCCGATGGTCTGCGAGAAGGATAAGAAGCGAAGTCCCGTCCTAATGGAAAAACCGCGTGATGGAGAGGGGAGGGACGAATCGAAAACGCATGCGGGGGTAGCGATAGATGAATGGTTGTGCCCACAGAATAGCTGTTGGCCTCCGCAGCAATTCTGATCGCCACTCATAGGCAACAATGTTCGCGAGTCAACGAAAATCTACAAGGACACTCACACTGAAGGTCATCTCCTCACAGACATGTACTTCCTGGATGACGGGTGGGTGGATTGACGGAGAAACGAGCGATCGCCCGATCTCCATCGGCCGGACCCTGGAGTGACCTACAACTTTCGCAGCGGCATCTGCGAATAACTCCGACAGGACGAGACGAGCAAACGGACACCTGCGGGATCCACCAGTGCGCCCACACGAGTCCGAAGGTCATCCGGCTCGACTACTACGCTGTCGTCGCAGAAACGCAGCTGGAACGCGGAAATTTTTCAATACACAGTCTGAATTCGAGCCATCGAGAGATGAGGGGAAAACGAGAGGGACATAGACGACAATTCACCGAGACTGTTCGACATGTTTTACGCGGAGCGTCATCCTGAAATATTGTTTCAATAGACGTCCAGGTTCTCAATCGTCTCGCATGTTCGAGCCATCGTCACGGATTCTGGGGAGACGCGATTCCTTGGAAGAGACGAACCGTCCGAGGAATCGCGGAACATTCTATCGTGAGCTCATCGTTCAATGCGGAGGAACGAGCAGACAAAATGAGAGTTCCTCTCTGACGGAGCGGCCCGGCGGGAGCACTATGCACGCGATTGCTTCCGTCGCGGGGGCTTTTAGCGGGTAATCTCCGTCGTCACAACTCTCCTTCTCCCGTGAAGTTCTATGAGTTGCTGATGGTCGGAATCCAGGGATAGAGCACGACGGAGCACAAGAAAAATCATTGAAACTCCATCATCGCGAGCGATCATTCTAGCAGCGGCAGCGGCTGTCGGAGCACTCTCTTTCCAAGAGAATTCCTCACCTGAGTTCCTCGGATTCTTAGAGGGTTTCTATTCTATCTTCGAGTCGAGAACGACGGAATCCTTTTTCTCAGACCAGAAAACCGATGAATGTACCTATAGAGGTCGAAAGCTTCCTTGAAACATTCTAGCGAGTCGGAATTTCCAAGCGCCAGATTTTCTGTTCATTAGGAGTAGGGTTTCATCAATCGAGAGCTCGAGAGGTTTATTTACTCTGTACTCTTGTCTCGTGACAGCGATACTTCAAGTGCCGAATTCCGACTGCTCCCATCGATGATTTGGAACCGCTGGCCGGGCAAGCAGACGAGGGACATGGAGACTGAAGTACGGCGGGAGTATGGGTTCAGATTGTGGGAATAATTAGATTCATGAGTGATTATCTCATCGCTACGAGAGACCTTGTCCAGAACGAGAGGCATCTTGAGCAGCAGTCGGTATTCGAAGGCAGTGTAATCTCGTCCAGGGATTCGGATGGTAAGCAGTAGCGTGTGCACCTTCGGGCTGTATGGGGCTCTAGCCTCTCTCCTTCAGAGGATTGTTTCAATTTGGTAAAAAAATTCTTGATGCGCTCCTGAAGGTGAGACGAGCCCCCTTCAATTAGCAAGAGATTCTATAGACATCACTGATCGAACGTGTGCAAAGGAACTCCCGGAACGTCTAGACCGCTGATTTTGAAAACGGCCCCTGCGTTGGGCTGCTGCTGCCTCTCGAACTCGTTCAAACCTCCGAAACCGCTCGTGACGAAAAGCTCGTTCATCTGCGGTCCGCCCCAACAACAAGACGTGGTCTTCGAAGCCGGAACTCTCACTTCTGTCAAGAGCTCCTTAGTCTCAGGGTCGACCCGCAACACCCGACCTGCAGCGGAATTGGAAATGGCTAACTAAGAACAGGTCCATTTCCGAGAACCATCTCCGGCTGCGCTCTCGGCTACGAAAAGTTTCGATTCGGAAACACCTTCTCAATTTTCCATCAACCGCAGTATTGAAGCTCACAGCTCGAATCCGAACTCACCACCGTTGTAGCATGCGATCCACAGTTTCCCCGTGGCGTCGTTTGTCATGCCGTCTGGATAACCAGCGTCTTTATAGGTAGGGTTCTCATTGAAGTCCAGCCATAATGTCGGTACGCCCGTTGTTCCCGTGGCAGCGTCGAAATCGAAGGAATATATTTTCCGAACGAACGAGTCGATGAAGAACATCTTCTTGCCGATCCACGTCATGCCGTTAGAAATATTCAGTCCTTGCATGTGGGAAGTGGGTTTCAAATCTGCTCGGGAACAAAAATCTCCAGATCGTAGAATTCGTTGAAAGTCGCCACTGGCCGGAAATCGCGGGCGGAGCCATCGAAACCGAGTTCGGGTCCGCAGAATCGGACTGTTTACCAACACGAATCGAAGAGTCACCTTTTTTATCGAAAGAGAATAGAGAGCCCTTCTCTGTTTCGATGTCTCCATTCGGCAGACCTGGACCCCTTGTGCCGCCCCATAAGCGCCCGGTCTCGTCACACTTGCCGTCGTTGAAGTGATTATTGGGTTTATCAGCATCAACCTGAAAACGATTGGATACAATCCATAGAAATGGTGACTCGATATACTTTTCCAGCCAGCATGCATCGCTTGGAGTAACTATGCGATTGAAGCGCGAAGCAGATCGAATCGAAGTCGACGATCTCCTGCCGTGTTACCTCGTTGAGCCGCACTGACGCTTGCGTTGGCCAGTGCAATTTGCGTAACTCACGCTTATGCGTGACGATCGTGTACTCCGGATTAGAGCGGTAGGGCACGGCGAAAGTCACCACCCCGTCAAAGTGAACACATTCCGACTGCTTTGTGTATGGATTCAGTCGACAAATGTCACCGACAAAAGCGTCCACGTACAGGAGACTGTTCGTCGCCACATCCCAATGAGGACCTGAGAAAGCATTATTCGATAGCTGTTATTAGGAGAAGCCGAGAGAATCATCAACTTCGACTACCGCGGCAACAATGACAGTGCTCAACGGCATTGTTTCACCGATACAGCTGATTGATAGCCTTGTGAGCTGCTCGGAGCAGACGAATCGAGTTCGGGTCGATTCCTCTCGCAATCTACGCAATCTATCCACGAGTCATCAACTCGAATGTCATTTCGAGAGTCGATATCTATTTATCATTGACAAGCAAACGAGTTTTCTCCGAAATAATGAAACCTGCGTGAGCAGAAAAATTTCCTCCCGATCAGAAATTCGATCGAGGAGACTGAGAAATCATTCCAGCGGAAGGAATATCGAATCCGAGGAAGTCTTTCTGTCCCCGTGTTCTCGGATGGTTCCGAGACTCATGGAAGAACTATTGAGTCGAGTCCAACCGTTGAACTCCAACGTCAAACATTGCTTTCGAGCTTAGAGGATGATGCTCGACTATTTCTCACCTTCACCGAGGTCGGAAAGCCTGGTAGAGATTGGTTCCACTTCGATCATGGGCATTTTCCAATGAACTGAATCGTTCCGGTCCCGTAATCAGGGATGCGGATCACCTACGACAGCAAAGCTCAAGAAATCAGCGTCAGATAATTCTGAAGTCGTTTCTCTAGTAGAGTTCGGACAGAATCCTCCTCCTTCACACAAACGATGATTTGACCACGAAATTCCGACTGGACGGGTCGCTCCAATAGCATTGACACAGAGCTTGGCAGCAGTTGCAGCCCAGCAAGCAGCTCGGCAGACAGAAGCGCGGACCGAACGCCGTCTGGGAGCAATTCAAAACACTGAGACGTCACAGTGCTGCCACAAACAGGTTATGAGGAGGCACCGGATTTTCTGGCGGCACGCAGAAACGAGTTTTCTCGTCTCGAACATACGAGCTCCCTCTAAAGGAACGGATGGACACGAGAACAAGCCGATTCTCCAGGTCGAGCTATTATTGGATGAGTGATTCTGAGCGGCATCCAGGGATTATGCGCTGCCGGTCCTGGGATCGTAGAGTGAAGTTTGATGTACCTAGTTTCGTAGATCTGCCTCACTTAGTTTTCCCGGAATTATCCGTTATCGGGGTTTTGCCACCGAGGAAGAATTTCGCTTTAACTCTAACGGGTCGAGTCGCAACTCGATGGCTTCAATGAGGCGGTCAGAATCGAGGTTCGGCAGCTCGACTAAAAAGTACTCGAGAGCACCTCGACCGTTACACAGAGAAAGCATAAAAGAGGTCAATTTTTCAGAAGCCTGCTGCAGCGTAACCTTTACATAAACCCACCGATCGTGCTCCTCGTGCTCCGGCCTCGACCCGTAAAACACCGGTTAGCCGAAACCCATCGATGACTTAACCATGTCAGGGACATTCAGGCAGGTGAGGAGAAGCCAACAAGTACCCCCACAGGCTTACACCTACAGTTCCCCCGTGAATGTTCCATCGGGTTCCTCAATGGAAGAACGGCCTCTGCGATCGTCTCCAAGATACAGCGATACCATGATAGGTGCATTATGACCTTCGGAGACGCGTGCGTCAAGAATCGAGGGAGGACTGCGGCTCCTCAAGGAAACCCGCCAGCCGGTGGCGGTAACAGGTGAACGCTAACTATGAAGCGCCTCGATTCGTCGTTACATTCGAGCGCGCGATGTTCGCATCTGGCTTTCGAGGTCGCATGCCTCGCTCCGAGATCGAGAGAGCAGTTCCTTCTTCGAGGAGTCTCTTCTCGAGCGGAGAGCCAACAAAGAGCGCACAAAGCTCCTCGTCGAGTGACGGTTCTGCTCATTGAGAGCTTCGTATTATCTCTGCGCAATAAACGCCCACAATCGAGCCACAACCCGTTGACGGCACTATCGCGGGATAGATCAGTGCACATCGTTCCGCACCTCTCTGACCAAAGTCTCACTCAGTCCGAATTCCTAAAGTGGGACTCGGCACATCAGAAAACCGACGGTTTGGCGGTTCGGATTTCCGGAATCACTCTGTTCGGTCTAAAGAAGGCAAAGCATCGAATATGGGACGTGTGGGGAAATCTCCCAATTTCTGCAGATCTCCCGTTCTCAACCGGAAAATGTTGCATAGCTCGCTTCCCCAACTTGAGCAGAGGATTCCTAGGACAAGATATGACCGATTGATAAAGTCAGTATCTCACTCAGTGGATCGGTCTCGGATGTCTCGTTGTGGCTACAGTGAGATTACGCAAACCGGAAAGCCTGCGGGGTCCTGCAGATTCTTGTGGATATAACATTAGACAGTTTCAATGCTTTGCGGAAGCTTCCGGAGAACAGAATGATTCAGGCTGACCATCGCTTCCGCCCCTCCCATGACGTCGTGCGATATTGCGGCGGTTGCACTTTCCTGTTGCGCAACAATCGGCTCCTGCAGCGGGAACGTGCAGAGGATGCGCTGAGCTTAGGTCTGGCTGCGAACAAAATACCTCACGAACTTTGAAGAGAGCCCGCTCGCCGAGCGCAGTTTCCCCGACAAACTTACGAAATTATATTCCGTACGAGAGGAATCTGCATTTTTATGCGAGTCACAAGTGATGACGAAAAAAGCGGAGCATTAAGGGCTCCTCTCCTCCAGGACGTTCACTGGTGTCAGAATGGCTCCGATATATGCGCATACGTTGCACGGATCCGCTGACGCATCCCACGGAGGAATAACCCACTCGGCTGATAAGCGAACAAAAATATCAGCCATATTCGAGAGCCTCTTCAGAATATTAGAGCGATCTTGTGCAAGAGTTCGTTTGCCTGTTTTGTTTTCGTCGACGCGTCCGACACCCGACTACAATCTCCTCCGAAAAGCGATGGGCCTCCAATTTCACCGATAGGGCGTCTCAAGCACATCGGAATCGTCTCCGAATTCCAATTGCGATTCCGATGCGAGGAACGGGTCTCGCTCTTATCGAAAATATCCTCCAGACAGGGAAACCGGGGATCGATTGCCAATACTTCCTCATTCAGTGGAGAAGAACTTATCCGAATATTGGCATCGAAAAGTTACTCAGGGAATTGCATCGCGTTGCATGCATGGCTAATAAGAGTCAGGCTTGCGAGCACAAGAGGAGATGGAGAAGCTGAAAACAGAGAAATAAGGCCACGCGAGCCAATTAGAGTTGAAAGTTCCATAAATCTCCTCGCGAAGACGCAGGTGACGCGGACGGCCTTCAAGTCAGCTGCTTGCTCTACTGCTGCTGTTCCGAGCATCGGTTGCCGGAGCCGATTTCTATCCGAAAACTTCACCTGGCTCGATGTCCTTGCGATGTACGCGCGTGCGGCCCAGGTGTCGTGCGCTTTCCTTTATCATCAGAAAGTGCTATCGAGTCAATGCATGGACTTACACAACCAGAACCACTAGTCGAGCGACCTAGCCCCCAGCCGAACAGCGAACGACGACACTCGAATCGACACAGACCGCGCTAGAATCCGATGCTCGAAAATCGGAGCGTGGCTCCGTGTTAACGAGCATCGTTTTTGTAGCTTAAACCATTTTTCAATAATCTCCGACTCATGACCGCTGTCAGAACATGTCGCTCGTCGTAACTGGATCTCTAACTAAACGGGATTTTTTCCGCCGCTGGTCAGTCCGGACACGCGCACAATTTTTTTTGTTTCTTCGAGGATCGAACTCACGGGGCTGATCTGTTTTCGAACATCGGAGCTAAACGACGGTCACAGTCCAAGGATGATGATTAGAGAATTCGGCTACGCGTCGATCGAGTAGTTTTCTATCCGAGATCGGAGCGGAGGCTGACGCTGGTCCCGAACCCGAGAATTCAGAGAATCAGTGGTTCGAGCTCCCGATATCACGATGTACCTAATCAATTTAGGAAGTTTCCTCAAGGTGTTTCCGTGTAGCGAACAACGAGTTCGCCCACGAAACGACGCGAGGCGGATCTACCGGCCTGCTTTCTACTGATCTTCGCTTCGAGAGCCCAAAAAAGCAAGGGTTGACCTTGAGGCATGGGTCCTTGGCATTGTCCTGGCCTAGCACCGGAAGACTCCCACCGGGAAATGCGAAGGTGGATTGGGTTAAAAATTTGGAACAAAACGACTCGATTCACGATGAAGGTCACAACGTACAGTTCAATGCCAGCTAAGCAAGCGGTCGAGAGGGGGAGCAGAACGGGGGTGGGAGCGCTTCTCCCCCGCAGCGGTTCTTGAATTCAACTCGCCCTCACGAGTTCTATTTCGCACCCTCTACTGCGTCCATGATTCCATCATCCATCCACTCGAGGGACTCGAGGGGTATCTCTTCACAGGTCTCGATATGTTCAACACGGATTGTGTGAGGTTTCGAAGCCTGGGCGACTGTACGGTTTCTCCGACGGCTTTTGATACAAGCACGCAGACCAAGAGGTGTGGCGCGAAGGGTTTGTTTTGTCGTATAGCTGTTGTCGCTGTGAGCTCTGCGTTTCGCGGAAGAGCTACGATCCCCATCGATTCCGCGCATGGTCATGCCCGGTCGCCAAGCGCGAAATATAGAAAAACATTCGTCAATCGAAATACTCAGTTGTCTCTGGATGAACTCAAATTCATGGCAGATCATCCTGTTCGGGAGCTCCATGAACCAGACTGTGACCGTCGGGTCATTTCTCCAATTTTCTTTTCAGGATAATATCGTTCTCCTGACGCAGGAACGGAAGCCGATCGCTGAAGCGTCCCGCGTCCACCTTCTATCCTACACGTGCTTGTCGGTGTATTCAGACCGAACGGTGACGAGATGAAATCTCTGGCCTTCCTGACTGAGTGTCGACAATCGGCTGAAAGAACCGGGATCGTGTTAAGCTAACCTTGGATGATTCCGCCGAGAGAGCTCCATTGTGTTACTCAATGATTACTCAATTTTTGGGGTTAAATGTTCGAGCGCGCCCGCTGAAGAGCGCGGGAGGCAGGCTGTAGGAAACCAGAAGGAATGTAGGTGGGTAGGAGATGTACGACCTTGCAGTGATCTCAGGATGGAGTACGTCGAGCGGAAGCTGAAAGGATCGCGTGCGCGCGGGCGAGTGTGAGGGTGGTTTTGTTATTCGGGAACAAAAAAAACTCGAGCAGAGTTTTTTTCTCAACGGGGTAGCCTTCGACAGATTTCAAAGGATTGTCGTCATCCTCGTCCTCGTCGTCATCGCCACCACCACCGTTCTCATTGGCGAGCGTGTGCCGCCAAATGAACTCCAACGAAATTCGAAACTTTGAATGTCGTTGGGGAAGTGTCTCGACCGACCTCGAGATCGCTCTTCGATTCGGCAACGTTGTGCTGAAAGAGTCAGGAATCCTCGGAGCGTCCAAGAGTCGAACCGTCTCTCTATATCGCATGGCTCTCCCGAACGAATTCCAGTCAAGGTACTTTTTCCGTCCTCTGGGAAAGTTGCCATTAGCGTCGGATCGTCCGTTCCCGGAATCTTTCTGTTCGTCGAGAAAGCTCCTCTGTGCTGTGTCAAGCGAGCCTGAGCGAAAGCAGACTTTTCGTCTTCCTGTACTCGAGCGGATCATTCAGAGCGGATAGTTTGTGTTATACTTTACGCACCGAGAAGCCCCAGCTCATTGTTGCGGACCGCGTTTCCGCTCGAATACACGGCAAAGAATCCCATTTTGAAGTGGTCTGCCTTGAACCGAGGATCTCTCAGCGGCTTCAGCCTGCGGCAGGCCAGACTCTCGCACCATGCTCCCGCACCGGTTCGTCGCTTTGACACCGGAGGAAAGACCAAGAA